ACTATGATTTTTAATTAAATAAATAAATAATAGAAATTTATATATTAATATATAATACGTATTATTATTTACACTTAATATTAATTTTTATTTTTAAATGCATTTAAAACAATATAGAGTTCGCAATATTATTATTTTCTATGAATATTCTATAGAAAATCATGCATGAGCACATTGCCTATAATATATATTTTATAAAAGAATTAAGTTCTACTAATAATAGGAGAATATAGAGTATATTTTTGATATTATTTTATATTATATTTTCTTAACAATTATATTATTCCTTTATTATGTTCAATTGTGTGTTAATTTTGGCATATATATTTTATTTAATTAACAGGAATTAATTAAAAAAAATCTGCCTTCCTATAAAATTATAGAACAGTTACTTAAGGGAAAGGATATAAGTGAATTAGATTCATTAATTTGTTCTTCTGTCAATTCCTCTGATATTATAGCGATAATAACAGATTTTAATGCATTGATTCAAGTTGGATATAATGAAATAAAAAAAGAATGTACTACTTCTAAGAATCAAAAATGCTGTAGAGCTTTGAACTATTATTTAGATTTCGTAACTTCAAATATTTATTTACCTCAAATAATTGATACATTTAAGCCTGATTTGATAGTTCAACTTGAAGAGCCATGGAATAAAAGACGTAATAGCAATAATTATAATTGTGTTAGAGAAACAGATAAAAATTCAATACTTAAAAGATGTATAAAAAAACAAATATATGATTTTTATTATGGCAAAGATTATTTAAATAAAAATCCAAAAGAAACTCATAATTCATATGATATATACCTGAATAAAAAATGGTGCAGCATAATTAGGTATGTTGAATCTAGTATTAAAGTGAAGGAAATAATTATTACTATCAACGGAGATCAAAAAACTATAAAATATGCTGATTTACCTTTTAAATATAAATTTTTAAAATCTAATAATTTTATTAATGATGAAAATGATGATTTAATTATATCTATTGAAGAACATAGAAATGCATTAGATAATAATCATGGACAAATAGGAAATATGTCAAATGAACATATTCAAACCAAGTACAACAATGATGAAAAGGTTATTCAATCAAAAAATGTATTTTTTGTTAAATATTTTCTCATTTATTGCTATATTATTACAGTAATTATTTTCTTAATTTTAATATTATACAAGCTTATTAAAATTTAATACATTAATATTCTAATATTGTGCAATATATGCTAATTTTAACAACAGTAAAGGCATAATAAAGATTAAAAAAAAATATATTTATTACATTTACAATGATATAATATTAATTATTTTAGATTAGTCCACTTGGATCATACATTCGTAAAAAAATAATGAAAAAGAAATATTTTGAAAAATATATATGTAAAAATACAGAAGATTCTTTTTTACCAAATACAGATAATAACAAATTTAATATAACATACAATTCCTAATTTAACCATAAAGAGAATTATATTTAAATAAAATTAATAATTGTAAAAGAGTAAAAAAAATATATGTACATTTCTTAATGTATATTTATGCTAAAAAAAATATATCAGAGTACTTATAGGGTTCAGGGCTTTGACTTAGTGTTCAGAATATTGGGTATACATATTAGTGCTCAGTTTTTAGTTATATATACATTATATGTTTGTCGTCATTAATACATTTATATTTTTTATTTATATTTATATATGTATGCATCATATATTACGTTATATGTAGAGTTACATATTTTTTAATTAAGAA